TCTGGTCCAGCTCCAAAGCTCACCCAGAGCTACTGGAAGACAGCTGGAAAGGGAGGGGTGGGGCTCCGCGGGGCGGAGACTGCCCATCATTAACAGCGAAACCACCCAGTTATTTATCCTTCTAGAGAGATCACAACTCTGCTTCATGACGGGAAACACATGATGAGTACCTATCATGGGAAGTGCAGAGCTTCCTTAGTAACCACCCAATGAGAAAAGATGATTTTTTGCATATTGCAACAGAAACACTTCAATCATTGTATTCTCTGTCAGGCAATAGAGGAAGGAAAAGCCTAGTCTCAAATACACATAAAGCTTGTTTCTATGCTAGGTCAGGTGTGTAGGGAAGATAGAGAAATGCAAACCAAAGCATCTCGGGCCCTTGGGTGACCCACCAGTTCTCTGTCCTGAGCTAATGTAACCTACCAGCAGCACTTAACCCTGATGAGGATACCTTCCTCTTAGAACATTTTCGTCACTTGACTTCTCGGACACGACGTCTCCTGGTTATCTCCCTACTGCTTTGACTGCTCCTTTTCAGGTTCCTTCGTTGGCTCTTCTTCAGGACTCCAGCATCCAAACAGTGAAGTGCCGGGCTCAGTCCTTGGACAGCTGATCTTTCTCCTCTGCTTGCGCTCTTGAGCTCTCACCTCTCACCCTGTCCCATTGACTTCAATCCCATCCACATGCTGATGGCTCCCAGCTCCTCTTTCCAGCCCAGACCTCTGTTGTCAGCTCTAGATTTGTACCATATATGCAGCTCTCTCCTCTTCATCTCTCTTTAGATGTCTAATAGGCATTTAAACTTAACATTGCCAAACCCAAACTCTTGATATCCCCTGCCTATCTGCTCCTTCGCCCTCCTCCTCCCCAACCCCAACTCAGCCTGCCTCTCCAATGGGCCGGCTCATTTTCATCTCAGTAAATGAAAACTCTACTCTGGGAATTGCCCAGGACAAGAACCTTTGAGTCACTGGCTCGCATCCAATCCTTCAGCAAATCCTGTCAGCTGTACTTTTAAAATGCCATAGGATCTTACCTGTAAGTGGAACCTAATCAACAAAACAAACAAGCAAGCAAAATATAAGCAGAGACATTGACATAAAGAACAAACTGACAGTAGCCAGAGGGTAGGTGGGAGGGGGTTAAGGGGGTAAAGAAGGGGAGGGGTCATCAAGGAACATGTATAAAGGGCCCATGGACAAAGCCAAGGGGGGAAGGACTGAGGGTGGGCGGTGGGAGTGGGTGGGGCAGGGGAAAGTGGTGGCAGGGAAATTGGAGACAACTGTACTTGAATCACAATGAAAAGAAGTATTAAAAAAAAGAATAGTCATGGGAATATAAAGTGCAGCATAAGGAAAAAAATATGTATCCTAATCTGACCGCCTCTCATCCTCTCCACCTGCTACCATCTCGTTGTGAATCACCGCCATCTTTCACTTAGATTCCCGCCACAGTTTTCTAACAGTTTCATCTGCTTTTGCCCTTGCCTGCAACCTCCTCCTTCCAATCATGTATTGTCAACATGGCAGCCACAGTGATTCTTTTCGAGAGTAAGTCAGGCTATGGCATTCTTCCGTTCCCAAAGCTTCCTACCTCACTCAAAGTAAAAGCCAACATGTCATTTTAATAGTCTGCAGGCCTCACCCTCTTAGATTAAACCTCTAACCCCAGCTCTTACACTTCGCCTTGTTCATTCACTTCAGCCACACTGGCCTTCCTGCTGTTTTTTAATTGCCACACATACTCCTTCCTCCCTCTGGGTTTGGCTCTTAGCTTCCTTCTCTTGGTATGTTCTTCCCCTAGATATCCGCATGGCTTGCTCCCACTCTTCCTTTAGCTCTGTCCTCAAATGAGCATGCCAGCTCAGGGTAAGAGGACCTCTGATGAAGGCAATGAAAAGCACAGTCATAAAGCCCTTCCACTCTTCAGTTAATCTGCAGTGACCTTCCAGGACAAAGCATCTTTGCGAGTTTGAAAATAAGCAGTGGAGTTAAAAGGGTCAGAACTGAAGCAGAGATCATTACCACTGGGACATGGTCTCTTTGTAATTCTGGTGATCATATAGGTCATCTTGATTCTTTACTCATGCAAGAGTTATCCCCTTATGAGAGATCAGTTGGAGCGCAGGTGGGTAGAAAAAGCGATAGGCAACAATACCATGAGCAGGGAGGCTACGGAAGTGAAAATCTACAAGAGCCTTGCAACTTCTTGTTAAGTAAGTTTTCTGACACATGGCAACTAGTGATTAATTACTGTGTTAGAAGATAACATTCCTATAGAGATTTGCTGGAAATACAGATGCTGCCCATGCTTGATTAGACATTGCTTAAGGAATGCTGAGGCACACAGCTCCAGTCTATTATTTCTGGCTATTTTGCTATTGCTGTTATATTTTATGTTACATAGCTTACAGCTCAGTAGAATTGATGGAGCCCATTTCACAAAACCCATCCCTACCAAAAACAGGAACGGAAACGAGATAAGGCTATAAAGTGTGTCTGTGTATGTGCTTATGTATGAGAGCAAGGGAAAATGAGGGAAAGGGACTATGAAGAGCAGGGAAACATTCTCCTTTCTGCGACACTTTCAGCTCTACAGAGAGAGGTCTGCAAGGGGGATGCCTGGTTTCTTGTAAACCTAGAAGGAAACTGACTCGTGTCAGCTGATTAAACACTTTCAGGGCATTCAAGATAAAACTGAACTTTGTCATTACCCAAGCCCTTCACCAACACAAAAGAAGCCTTAATGTGGTACCTACTCATTCATCCAACACCAATGAGGGGCCCTTACTCTGGTCCAGCACTGAGAAGACAGACAGGACAGTCTGGCCTTTTGGGGCTCACAGTGTAGAGAGGAGATATCTTTGGAACCAGGATCAGAAGGCCAGATTCACCCATGCTGTATGTTTAAGCTAGCCTGTTTCAGGATCCATTAAGAGTAAAGAATAACAGGAACAGAACTTGTCCCAAATGGTCACATTTTGGCTCATGCCCACTTCCTTGGACATCATTCACCCAACCTGCTGTGAAAGGCATGACTCGGTTGCCGTGCAGTTATTTCCTGAAGAAACGCTTCGCTGGCACTCAGCCCACCAACGCCAACCTCGGAGCTGCCCAGTCGGCATTTCATTATTCAGATGCCAGTTTTTTCTAGTATGTTTTCGAGACCCATACCGTCTGCCAAAAACTGTGTTAATTTACTTAATTCAGCTAAATAAAAAAAATCATTTAAAAAGGATGATTGAATTTAGAAAATTATATTCCTCAGAGAATTAGTAATGCTTCCCTCTATCCCTCAGGCCTCCATGTTCTTATGTTTCCCTTGTCAATGTTATTATGAGACTAATTCAATAATGAGATCATTCCCCAGAAGACCGACCAAATAAACGCAGCATTCAGTCACACCTGGTTTCTCTAATCTGAGCAAGGAAGGCTTTCCACCAAATTTAGCCTAAAATAGGGAACTTAATGAACACGCACACACACGCACACAGGGAAAAGTAAGACAGGGAAGCAAGACAGAGAAGCAGAGGAACCGGGTAGCAATGGAACAAATGGAATGGCAAATTGGAGAAGAAAGGTTAAACGTAAAGATATATTGTTATATGGTTCCAAAGCAAGATTCCTAGCATGTGTCTTAATCATTGTCAAAGTGATATAATACTTTGTCATTCCCTTAAGCATCTCAAGAATTGTTTCAAATTTTCTTGAACTTCTTAAGGAATCAAAATATCAGGCAGAGAGACACAGAAGTATTCCTGTATTAGGCAGGAACATTCTGGATTATTAAAAACAAATGACTTCCTGGCCATAAAGGAGCGTGTGGAATGATCCACCTGGATATAAGCTTAGCACTGACATGCCATAATCATCATCCATCCTCTTCAAAACTGGTCATGCTTTCATTAGAACACCAAAGGTCTGATGATTGAAGGAAGGTATAAATAGTGTTGAGACCACATAAAGAGAGAATAAAATTAACTTTCAAATTTGAACAGGCACATTATAAAGAAACATTAAACACCGCGATCAGCAAACGTAGAAAAGAGACAGTGCTATTTAAAAGGAGCTTCAATTACACGGAGAGAGAGCAGGGGCCATGATTGGGAACCCCTCCCCCCGCGAGGCAACAAGAGAGGGTGTCAGTGGGGACAAGATAGAAGAGATGAAGAAATAGATTCATGTAAAAATACATTCAATACCTGTTATTTATAATGACAGAAAAAAATGGGAAAATCCGAATGTTTACAAATTTGCAAATGATTAATAAATCATGGTTCACTTACACCATGGAATTAAAAGTAATATTTTCAGGCATTAAAAGTAATATTTTCAAGGAATATTAATAGATATGGGAAAAATCATGCTTTCAAGAGTTTATTAATATCAGAAAATACAGTTAAATGAATATAAGACTCCATTAGCATAGTTTTATCTTTGTAAAAAGATAAATCATATGTATGCACATGTATTGAAAACTTACCTGTACACAAATACCAGGAGAAAGTACACCAAATATAATTACCAGATTAAAAGTTTATGAGTAATGTTTATATTCTTCTTTGCATTTTATATTACATATATTATGCAATTAACATATATTACTTTTATAACCAGAAAAACAGTAAAGTTTTTTTGTAAAAAACTTCAGTTAGACAATAGGAAAAATTACCTGTCTAATGGATGTTAAGCATCCAACAGAATTCTATAGAATTACCTTCTCTATGACTGAAAAACATCTATTTAATATCTCTTGATTTTTAAAAATTGAGATATAATTGACATATAACATTACATTAGTTTCAGTTTTACAACATAATGATTTGATATAAGTACATACTGCAAAATAATTACCACAGTAAGTGTAATTAACATCCATCTCTTGTTTTTCTTCTGAAACTCACTTTTAAGAACCAATAATCTCCTTTAAAAAATGACTTCACAGCCAATGAGGTCTTGGCTTTGGTATAAGGAGCTGAGCCCAATCTTCCCGCTTACCTTGCAAAGTCCAGGTCTGCTTCCCGCGACATGGTGATGTTGGTCAAATTCTGCTGAAGAACAAAAATGTTCCTGCACATTTTCTTGATGCCAGACTCACTGATGCGCCTGAAGTACTGGGCACCATTGATGAGGATGCAGGAGATCAGATGTCCTAGGCCTGAGGGGCCGGCACACGGCGGTGGAGAGACAGGAGAGGACAGATTAGGGCCGCCTTGCACGAACTGACACATGGGATTTCTCTTTTAATCCTCCACCAGTTTCAATGACCCAAGAATACACATCTCCAATGGCGGCCTCAGCGGGCACCACAATGACGATGGAGGATCTGTATACGGCCCTAGAATCGCAGATGGGGAGCCTTTCTGCTGGCAACAAAACCTGGCAAGCCCATAGCTCCAGCACCGCCACATACACCTGAGGCCATTATTGTGCCAGGGCTTAGGGAACGTGCCCGGTTTTATAAACCACTGAAGTGCACAGGAGCTCTTTGTCCTGTACAGATATTTTGGGAGAGGAGAAGAACCCATGTGAATACAGTGGTCTATGGATTTGGCCTCCTCTTCCTCCCACTGAACAGATAGGAGCATACTTTAGCTCAAAAGTGGATTGGGAACCTACGTAAGCAAAAGTAAATCAGTAAGAAATCGGGCTATTGTCACTAACACACCTCAATGTTGACAATGGAGGATGTTTCTCAAGTGGCAACTGGAGAGATTGGAGGCAGGAACAAAGTGCGAAAGAAAAGTAGGTCATGCATTACCTGCTGAGTTCCTACAAGATACCTACGGACACTTCTAGGGTCTTGTAAGCAATCTGTCCTCGTCTCCACAGCACTACCGCGAGGTCATGAAGCTGACCAAAGAGAGGCCGGTACATAATAAACTAGAGGTCCAAGTCTGGACATCAATTACATGAGAAGCCGGTTCAGAACCACCCGGGGCATGGGTGGATCACCATTTTACAAAGCTAGATATATGAATGCTAAACACTTGGAACTAAATGATCTTTCTTTCTTCTTTTTCCCTTATCTTTTCCAAGTTGGACTCTAGCAGGCTGTTTCCCCCAGAACTTGAACGCAACTCTGACTAGTTGCAAGTGGTCTACTGTATTTGTTATTTTCCTCTTCTAAAGTCATGGTCCCTCCATGGTGACTGGTTCAGATCAGAGCTCAGGGCGTGGCTTCAGGTTTCAAGGCTGCCCCGTCTTCAAAATGAGTTTTCCCTCAAGGGATGAGGATGGAGGCTGTGCTTTCTCTTGCCTCTGCTACACTCACCGCCATTGCTGCAAGACCACAAACTCACTTGTATGTGCCACTACTTGAGAGTGAAGTAACAACATGGATTTTACATTTAACACCACACAAATCACTTATGTGAAAAATCTCTGTAGGTCAGCTTTCCGCTGATACTTCTGAGCCCAAGCTTCAAGTATAACTCATTCTGCCACCTGCAGTAGGCCCTAAGTACAGGCAGTGGCGGGGGCGGGGAGGGTTGTAAAGAACAGTAAATACTAATAAATATATTACACAAATAAATTTATGTAATAAATTAGAATAATGAATGGCGGGGAGGATTGTAAAGAACAGTAAATACTAATAAATATATTACACAAATAAATTTATGTAATAAATTAGAATAATAATGAATAATAAAACCAATTAGGAGTTGGTCTGCTTTATGTAATCACTACATTCCAGCAATTCTACACGACGTCTGCGCTGAAGTGCTCCTCCCTGCCACTCCAAGGAAGGTCAAGACCCTGTTGCGTCCTCCCCCACCTTGGGAAACTCAGTATTATACCTTGTGAATTTAGAAAATTATATCACAGAGAAGTAACAGGCTTTTTAAACACGAAGCCGGAAACTTCTAGGCTTAACTAGATTTCCTAGTTAAAACCTATTCTAAGTCAAAGGGCTATGCCTGTATTTCAAGATGTGGTCTCTCAGCAGGATTACCTGTGAATAAATGTGTGTGCAGAATGAGAGGAAAATCCAGGAGCTGTGAGTGTCGGGCCTGGAAGAGCCACAGTGAGGAGGACGAGGAGGAGACTGTGTAGCCGGGGAGAAGCGCGTTCTCAGACGGGCAGTGCCGCTTCAAGCCCCAGGGCGTTACTGCTGCCCCCAAGTTCTCAGGGCCCTGGGCTCACTGACAGCCCCTGCCTTTTAATCACTTGTGCTTTTGGCTAAAGTCTTTTAGGGACATTTCCCTTCAGAATACATCTCCATCTTTGTGACACAATTTAACAAAAAAAAAAAAAAATTGGATTTTTGGGGTCCAAATTTGCTAGAACAAAACTGTTTCATAAAGAAATCAATGGCCACGCCTCATCACTTTCCTGTTTTCTGGTTGCTACAATCCTTGGACAATGTACCTTCTTATTTGCTCTAAATAACACCGGTTTCATTTTATGAGACACCCTGGATACTTTTAACACCTAGATCTACATACAAAGAAGCCAAAAAAGAGGGAATAGAATTTGAAATCCTAAAAGGAGGTCCTAGGAAGGAATTCAGCATGAAAATTACTCGGCTGTGATTGTGTTTTTCCAATGTGCAAGGCAACCGCCTTAGACGGTACCATCTCTTATATCCTTCCCTGCCTGCCCTAGAGGCATTTTCAGACGCAGCCTTCCTAAAATCATTGCCAATCAGAGGTTTCTGTTGTTTTCCATCAATAACACATTCTCAGAGAGAAAACTTCCCCTTTTGGTAACAAGTTTAGCCAATGAGGGATTTTTCAGGGTTCTCTCCTCATCGTGTGTGTGTGTGTGTGTGTGTGTGTGTGCCTTTTTCTTTTATGAGTTCCTTTTGAGTTAATTCGTGGCCTTCCACCCATTTATCCAACTCTCATGAGTGGTATGTCGGGGAGGCAGCCGGCCTGCCATCTGCCTTATCTTGGATTAAATCTCCTTATCAAATGGGAGCAGATGGCAGCCATATTGTTGTCGACCTAGCCATACCCAGAGACACCAGGTATTGCAGCTTTCATCAAAAAAGAAATAAAAGTCCCAAGAACCTCTTTCTTCAAGTTTTGAACTTCAATGATATAGAAAAACCAGGAGACCCTTCGTCCTTCCCTCCTCCCAAACTCCCAGGGACAGGGGCTCCGGGACCGACCTTCAAATATGTACTGGAACTTGTGCTGCTGGAGGCTGGCACTCATGGCCTCTTCGATGGCACTGATGTCTTTGTTGAGCTTGACCACCAGAGGGTCATAATCCATGCTTTCCACGTTAGCAACGATGGCATAGTTTCCCTCTTTCGCAAGAGGGATGAGATAGTGGAAACAGTGAACCCTGAAAAAGACGGCGAGAGTCGGCGGAGCAATTAGCAGTCAGTCTTTCTGATGAAAATAGTGACCGTTAAAGAAGCAGTGGCCCTGTTTCTCTATGGACCCCTCCCTTTTTCACCGGAAAGCCACTGCAATTATGCCACTGAACAGCTAAGTGACCTTGAGCAAGTCAGCTTCTCTGGTCCTTGCTTATTTAATCCCTATGTCGTGGGTGAGAAATAGATGAGCCCCGGAATTCTCTTCAGTGACAGGACTGTGGGCACAGTGTGAAGAGCATCGCATCTCCCAATGGACATTGTTGTCATGAAAGTGAGAGGCAAAAGTCACAGGTCTTACATGTGTAAGCCTGATAATAAGACTACATTGCTTTCAATTCCTGATTCCATTTATTCCCTGTGTGACTTCAGGGAAGTTATTTTCTCTCTGTCTCAGCCTCCTTACCCATGCGATGGGAATGATAACAACACCTGAGGAGCCACTACATAGAGAGTGTGTCACATAGGGTTCGGAGTGAGGGAAGGGCAACTTAAGTTGTCACTATGTGTCACATAGGGTTTGGCCATCAACATGATTAGCATATTTAATGTTAATCTATTACTTAAATAAAACACTGAACATCCATGAATTTGTTAAAAATCGTGCACGGCCCTGCAAAAGCCTCAGGTATTATCCCGAATGATGCAAGTACATGCTTAACTGTCGTCTTCCTTTTTTAAAGTCAGGTTTATTGAGAGATAACTTACAAACAGGAAAATTCCCCCTATTTAGAGTAACGTTCTATGATTTTTGACAAATGCATCCAGTTGTATGAACATCACCATAGTCAAGTCAGAGAATTTCCTTGTCCTCTTTGCAGTCAACCTCTACTCATACCCCAGACTCCTGCAGCCACGGATGTGTTTTCTGTCCCACAATTTCATCTCTTTTGCATGCCACATAAATGGAATCATTTGTGAACGTCACTCTGGATATTGGCTTCTTTCGTTCTGCCTAAGTGTTTGAAGGTTAATCCATGTTGCTCATCCCTCCCATACATGGATGTACAACAATTTCACCCTTCACCAGTTCGCATCTGCGTTGTTTCAAGTTTGGGGTGATTACGAATAAAGCTGCTTCATGCACAGGTTTCTGAACAAGCTTTCACTTCTCTTTGGTAAATACCTAAAAGTGGACTGGGGGTCCTGTGGTGGGTGCACGTTTAATTTTATAAGAAACTGCCAAACTGTTTCCAAAGCACCCATATAATTTTGCGCTCTGACCAGCAATGTGCAGGAGTTCCAGTTGCTCCGTGTCCTCCACCAGCGCCTAGTGCTGTCAGGGTTTTTAAAGTTCAGCTCTATTAAGGTATAATTGGCATATAAAATTGTAAGATATTTAATGTGTTTCGAGATGGGTTTACATTCTGATAAGATCCCCCTGTCTAGTTAATTAACACATCCATCACCTCACAAAACTATTCTTTGTTTAGTGAGAACATTTAAGTTCTACTCTTGTAGCAAATTTCAATTATATGACACAGTGTTGTCAACCATAGTCACCATGTTGATATTAGATCCTGAGACCTTATTCATCTTTTAACTTAAAAGTTTGTACCGTTTACCAGTCGCTTCCTATTTCCTCCTCTCCCCCAGCTACAAGTTACTCTCTTGTTTCTATGAGTTTGACTTTTTTTAAATTTAGATTCCACATATAAGTAGGACTATGACTATTTGTCTTTCTTTTTATGGCTTATTTCACTTAGCATAGTGCCCTCAAAAAGCGTTTGTCAGTTAAAAAATTTTTAGTCATTCTAATATAGATATGTAATGATATCTCATTGTGGTTTTAATTGATATTTTCCTAAGGACTGATGATGTTGGGCATATTTTCATGGACTTACTTATTATCCATATATCTTTGCATTCACATCATCTGCCTAATATTTTTTTAAATTAGGTTGTTTGCTTTCTTACTAAATTCTGAAAGGTCTTTATATTTTCTGGATGCAAGTTTTTAATTGGATATGCATTTTTGCAAATATTTTCTCTCAGTCTTTTACTTTTCTTTCACATAAAAGTTCTGAGTTTATCAATCCTCTCATGAAAAGTCTGCCCCCCCCCCCCCCCCCCCCCACAGAGACGGTCCCTGAAGAACCTTCCCTCCTCCTCTGGCAGCGCCAGCGCTGGCCTCCGCAGCCCCCGGCCGTCTTCCTCCTGCTCTGCGTTCCTTTCGCTGTTTCCCTGAGGTCTCCGTACCCTCCCCCAGGCCGTGTCCTGTAAGTCTAGGTTTGGGCTCATTTTCCTCTGCGTCATCCCGGGAATCATAAATCGCGCCAAAGCCCACTGCCCTGCCACTGCCAAAATGGGTTCTGAACCCAAATGCAAAGGTGACATCCGGTGCGTTCTTATACGTTTCGGCTCGTTTTTCCCGGATTTCTGGCCTAGGTACTGTTGCCTGTGCAGGGGGAAGGACGTCAGTGACGATCTGTTTCCGCTGAGGCGGGCTGTCGGTCCGGACAGTTCCTGTGTCGTTCATGACGGCGCCCCGTCTTCAAGCAGCCAGGGAGGGAAAGAGGCCCTTTTCTTCTCATCTTAATAGTATCTTTCAAAGAATGGTTTTAAATTTTGATGAAGTTCAATTTATCATTTTTTTTTATGGGCAGTACTATGGGTGTTAGATTTAAGAATCTTTGCCTAACTAAGGTGACTAAAATTTTTCTGTATGTTTTTTCTGTAAGTTCTAAAGCTTTGGGTTTTACATTTAGATCTATAATTCATTTTGAACTAAGTTTTAGATAGTATGTGCTGTATTCCTATGATCTGTTCATCTAACGGGATCTAAATATCTTGACTACCAGTTCATTTTCATGATGGGTAATCATCTAACAGCTGATAATCAACTAATGACTAATTACACCAATAAAAGCTCATCTGACAATCATGTGCTAATGGGCACAGCTATTTTTTGATCAAGATGCCAGTAAATGCACTGGTTACAGGTCCCTCTGGAATCTGACCTTTCTGATATAATAAAAGTCAACCAACCCTGGTTGACCAGGGAAATTGATTGGTATTGTGGTTGCAATTTATACTGAACAGTTCTTAAATGAAAATAAAATCAAGCTATAAATGCCCAAGAGTTTTCACAGTACCTTATAAACATTATAACCCCAGACAATGGGAATACCATGGACAAAGGCATGAGGGTGTGAATGGAGGGCAGTTTCAGGGAATGATAAGGTTCCTTTGGATCCACAAGGATCACATGACAGAGGCATGAGCTGAGCTGGGGGAAATGGGCTGGGGCCAGGCCACCCTAGGCTTGGAGGTCATCCAAGGGCTCTGGGCTATGAGAAGCCATAGGGGACCTCGGGAGGATTTTAGGAGGTGAAATGATATAGTCAGATACAAGCTTTGGCAAGATCACTCTGGTAGAGTATAAAGGGTGGCTTGATGATGGAGCATGGAATAAACTGGAATTAGAGAGAGAATTAGGAAATTATTATGAATTGCAGGTGACAGCTTACAAGATCCTGACGTGAGTGGCAGAGAGGAGAGAGAAACACTGTCTCAAGGGACTATCTTCCTCTCTCAAAATGGTTAGAGAGGAAAAGGAAATTAAAGTAGTCACTGACAAATATAAACAATTTTTAAAAAGTGTTTTTTCCCTTGTCTTTTGAATTCTGGCATCTTGTTGCTGACCTTAATAGGACTTCGCCATTAAGGTTTTCTGCCAATATTGCTGATGGCACGGCAGGACGACTGAAATTTTAGAAAGTGCACACTTAGGATCCCAACAGGGACAGGCAATTTGCTCATGGACCTACTTGGAGCCCTGCTGATGGTGAGATTCTTGGCATCTTAGACTCAAACTGCAACTTAATTTTCTTCTAAAGTTCAAATATGAAAGAATACCGAACAATATTTTATAGCCTCACCATGTCTTTTCATTTCTTGGGGGTGTCATTTGCCTTGTGTTTCAAATTGTGGACTGTCAAATGCCCTTAGATGGGGCCTTCACCAGAGAACCTACTGGATTTGAGAACACTTTTGATTTGAACTTGAACAATAATAAAGAAAAATATGGACTATGAATATAAAATATTTGGAGGACTAAGACAAATTTTGGGCATTTGAAGTTGTTCTGGACTTCTTGCTAGCATTTCCCATTTTTTTTTTGTCACCTCTATCTGTGCACTTATGACAGTGGTTTCTTGGGTTCACAGACACTGACTCACCAGCCACTCTTCATTGTACCGACCCCTGGGCAATGGGTCTGAGTTCTAAGCCTTTCATACGTCAGGATGGGAATAAAACAAACACAGGCTGATTATGATGACAGGGATGATGTTGGCCATGCGTTACCTCTGCCGCTCTCAGATACATGTAGTGAAACACTAAGTGAAAACAGAATCCCGAAACCAATTCATTTTCTTTAATGAGAAGCAAGTTTTATTGGAGGAAACAACACTTAATTTATCTGGGGTTGGTCTGAGGCCAGCTAATTCTCAAGAGTCAGTGATGTTTTTATGGAGCATCTATTAGGCAGCAGGACTCTTCCTGGTTCTTGGGCCATAACAGTGACCAAGACACACCTGATTCCTGCCTTTCGGGAGCTAACAGTTTGCTCCACTGTCACCCACGGTGGGCACCCTGTGCACAGAGCAGCCTGCTCTGTTTAGCATTGTTATACTACAGTATAATGATTTGCTTGAGATGGATCTTAGTCATTCTGTAAACTTACTCATTGTCAACTGTAAAAAGAAAACAAAAAGCTTAAGCACTGTGACAAGGAATGAATAAAGTGTGTGAACATTCACTATCTGAGCCATACATGGGGTATTCTGTCTCATTTTATATACAGTACTGTAAACAAAAAACAAAATGGAGAGTATTCATAAGAAAGCAACCTGCATGTTGAGATGTTATATGAGGAGGTGAAGACATTCAATTTAGAAAAAAATAAACATGCTTAGTGTTCACAGTAAAACTCAGCCTTTTTTGTTATTCATTCTTAAAATGATCTTTTTCTGTTTTCTGATGAATGCTAAAGGAGATATAGCAGTGAATGTTACACCATGGAATGGTTCCTTGTAAACTTAATAAATAATGTCTAAAACATGTTCAGCATCACAGAATAGTACTGCCAAGATGTACAAAAACAAAAAGGGCAGAATAAAGGTTAAAGATTTTAAAGATTTTACTCAAACGTGTTCAAAATATCCCACTTGGAATTAACTACAACACAGGCAGATAATTCTAAATGTAGAAGACACTGTGTGCCCACACAATCAATAGCATAATTCCGGGAGCTGTGATAGTAATGAATTTGATGTTCCCTTGTTTTTCTGTGCAACACTGGAAACAAGAGCATCCAAATGTTGCTGGGTGGTGTCTTTTTTCTTTTATATCTATTGAATTTACCTAGTCATAGAAAACACATGTCATCCTATAAATAAATAGAACACAAATCTAAATATTATTGTAAATCAAATTAGAAAACACAGAGGAAAAGCCTTATTCTATACAGCTGAATGTAAGAAATGAGTTCAGAAATGATGCGGAGTAAAACAGATTCCAAACCTGCGATGCTCCTTCTCTTGCTCCCCTCACAAGGTGCTCAACGAGCAATAAAGAAGTACCTCACTGGACAAAGATAATGAAGGTATAAGAAAGCAAGTGGCACAAAAAAGCAGCAATGCTAACGATACGTTATGAATTGGGCTTTGCCTGGGCACACCGCAAAGACGTCCAAGTTCTAACTGGAGTCCAAATGTATGAACGAAACTCCTACCTACATTTTAAAAATCTAAATCTAGGGAAGACTCCAAAAGAAAAAAAAAATACTCTGCCAACTTTAATAATGCCTCATGGTCATCCAGAAGAAAATGTATTACTAACTATGCACTTTCTGGTCCTAAGGCTTGTGAGCCTCAAGTTTCTAAAGTCTATATCCAACGGTCTATTTGACATTGCTACTGTACTGAGATGTCTAAGAAGCATCTCAGACTGAACATGCCCAAAATGGCATCCTTGATTTCCACTCCTCGCCCAGCCTCTGCCCTCCCTCAGTCTTCCTCACCGCAGCTAACGGCCCTGGCTGTGCCCTCAAAGCTGGTGGTGCCCTTGAGTCCTTTTCCTCTCACCGCTTCCAGCTCTTGTGCCCAAGCTGATCTATCAACACATCTTACTGGCTGTCCCTTCAGAATGTGTCTCAAGTCCAGGACTCCTCACACATCCACCTCCGTCACACTGGTGCTCGTAACCAGTTTCAACTGGTTTCACTCTGCTTCCAGTCACCTCTCTCCCTGAAATTCCTTTTCCATTTACAACCAAAGTGACCTTTTAAAAATGTGCATGAATGTCTGACTCATTTTGCTTAGCATGATACTCTCAAGATTCACCCGTGTTGTCTCAAACGGCAGCATTTCATCTTTGTTTACGGCTGAGTAATATTCCATTGTCTATATGGACCACATCTTGATCCAACCCTAAACATGCTAAGTGAAATTAAGTCAAGCAGAAAAAGCCAAGAACCACATGATTTCAGTCATACGTGGGACATAAAACTGAAAGCAACAGATGAACAAACAAGGAAAACAAACAAAAACTCACGGACATGGACAATAGCATGGTAGTCCCCAGAGGGGTGCGGGGCGGAGGGCAGTAAAAGGTAAAAGGGGGTGAAATATATGGTGGCGAAAGAAGATCTGACGTTGGGTGGTGAGCACACGCAATGCAATATACCGATGGTGTATCATGAAACCTGTATAATTTTATTAACCAATGTCACCCCAAAAAATTTAATTTTTAAAAAATTGAAAAAAAAGTGAATGAATAATGAATGATCGGCTATGTCTCCTTTGCCTAAAAGCCTCTTACGGTTCCTGTACCTGCCGCTCCACGCCTCCCCCCACCCTCGTCCACCAGGCTACCGTCAGCGGGACCCCTCTCCTTTCCAGCCCTGATTTTGTCTGAGGACCCTGTGAGGGTTTCTCCCTCAGAAGAGTCTGACACTCTTCCCCTAGGTTTTGCACAGATGGCTCCTTCTTACTGCCTTGTCACGCTGTCTTTGAACACTCTATCAAATGGCGTTTGTCTATAAAACAAACAAAATCCACTTGCTCGTCCACCCCAGCCGCTTCCTGCGCTGGCTGGGAGGACAGCACCGGAGCACTTGAATGTGACCAGTGCCATTCCTGTGGGTCACCTACAGAGACTTCAAAGGACTGGGCCAAAAATACAAACTATCTCATTAACAATTGTTATCTTAACGACATGTTGAAATAATATTTTGGTTATACTGGGTTAAATATGCTATAATTTATGTTTCCTTCTTTTTTTCAAATGTGACTATTAGAAAATTTAAATTATTTAAAGTGAGTGTAGCTCTCACTTTATATTTCTATTGGATAGCACTGCTTGATTCCATTATCCTTTGTTAATGTTTTAGTTGCCCTTATCTGAAATTATCTTTTTCGTTCGCACATTGGCTGGTTCTCCTCATTAGAATGTACTTCCAGGAGGGCAAGGGCCTTGAGTGTTTTTCCACTGCTATACCCCAACTTCCAGAACACTGCCTGGCATAAAGAAGGAGCTCAGTAAACATTTACTGAATGAATGAATCAACGATTAAAGACTCCCTTGTCCTTTCTTCCTACCATTTCTATATGTGTAAGAGGTTGCCAAAGCTGACCAGAATATTCTACATTGCAGGGGAAGAAGTAAGGGGCCAGGAGTGCAGTGCCTTTGGAACTACATGTATTTTCTTGAATTATTATTTTAACTTAATCTCTTCAATTGGGTTTTAAATTTTTGAAGGAAGGGATCACAGTTCCTGCATTTGATTAGCAGAGCACCTTAGTACAAATATCAATGACAGTAAACTCATCACAGTTGCAAAGCCACCGCATTCTGCATACTTACTATGTGGCCGGCATTGCATTAAAGATGCCATTTTTAAAACCTGTAAGTTAGGAATTTTTGTTTCCATTTTTAAGATAAAGAAACTGAGGGTTAGTAAACTTAATTGTCTTAAGATCGACTAGTCAGCTGGTATAGACACTCAGATCCAGGTCATTCTGACATCAGAGGCCTGGCTAACCCTGAATCACCATATTCACAGTACAACATGAGCTCAAAACACTTGCGAGTGGTTGAGTGACACTAAAAATCACTTTCAGTGTAAAAAAAGGACACCATGAATAATAACCGAAAATCATTGTGATACTCCCCAGAAATAAGCAGGTGGTTTATGAGCCACAGTGTACGTCGACCTGTCTTGTACGCTGCTGTGTCATACCTGACTTCCAGATGCAGGACCAGCAGGCAGCGGTCGGCCATGTCCTGGAAAGATTTGGCAAGCTCGCCCAGGGTCTGCATGATCTGCTCGGACACTGGGGGGAGGTCCATGGTCACGTGGCTCTCCTGAGCAGGAGACAGCACTGGAAAAGAGGGGCGAGAGCAACACCAGTCATTTCACTAGACGCCTACCGATTTTTTTGAAATGACGTGTCATTTTGTTGCTCATCATGTTGTTTTCACCAATTTGGCGAATGCTAGTGTTGGAGGCATTAGACATCCAAGGCAGGATAGAATATTTCTGTCCTTGATTAAACACAGAGGCCCAGGTGATTGTTTTGAATCTATTCATAGAATGACAAAAACAGGATTTCAGAGTTGGAAGTGACCTTAACAGACATTGGGCCCAACCACGTGGTCTATGCTTGTGCCATTTATACACCTGTCAGTGGTGTTCGCCACCCAAATGTTTGTGAATGGAAACTTAGTATCTTTGGAGGCAGCCAATTCCATCCCTGAAAGCTTTGGCCATTCTACATCAAGCCATGTCTGTCATCATTAACTTCTTTTATTAAAAAAAAAAACACACTTTATTTATGTTTAGAGACAGAGAAGAAAAGAGAGAGACACAATGATTTGCTGGTTCCCTTATTTACACATTCGTTGGTTGCTTCTCGCATGTGCCCTGGCTGGGGAACACACACCCAACTTTGGGACGACGTTCTAACCAACTGAGTCACCTGGCTAGGGCTGTTATCATTAACCTGTAATCACAGGCTCTGATTTTGCCAACTTTATAGTCATTCTTATGTGGCAGTACTTCAAGTATTAAAGATATCTCCTTTGACTTCCTTGAAGTCTTCTCTTTTCCAAGCTAAATATCCCCAGTTTTTCAACTATTTTTCAAATAAATGAGCTGAATAACTTTACAGTTCTTATAGTTCATCAACAAATGCAACTGTATACCTCCCTTGAAATGTGGGACGCAGGACCAAACATAACAAATACTGCAGAGCAGTCTGACCTGTCTAGAGGGAGTGGTCAACTCCTTCGTTCTCAATGCCATGCTGCTTGCTGTAAGCCTAAGGCATCCAGGGGGTGGGGGATGGTAGTGTGCTAGATTCTACTTTCAAACACATAGAGCTTACAGTCGACTACAGTACTACAAAAGGCTTCTTGGAAAGTTTTATAAAGCTACCTTCTCCATCTTTCCTAAGTAACTGATAAAATATTTAATAGTGCTTGGACGCTGCCTTCAGGAAAATACTGAAGAGCAAAAATGTGAACTCCATTTGTTTATGTCTACACTTCTGTTGTACATCCAGTTCCCCGCTATTTCTCCAATGTCACCAACAGTTAATTTGGCAATCTCATTCAGGAGTTCTTTTAAGCTCTGATTGGTGTGGCTCAGTGGGTTTGGTATCATCCCACAAAGTGAAAGGTCGCTGGCTTGACTCCCAGTCAGGGCATGTGCCTGGGTTGCAGGCCAGGTCCCTGACTTGGGGCGAGTGAGAGGCAACTGATTGATGTTTCTTTCACACATCAATGTTCCTCTCCTTCTCTTTCTCCTTCCCTTCCCTCTAAGAATAAATAAGTAAAATCTTAAATTTTTTTTTCAAAAAAGTTCTTTTAGTTCACTGGAGCCTCAAAGACTGGCCTCTGAGTCCCATCCTCACTACTTACTATGTGACCAAGAGCTAATTACTTAACTTCTGTGTGCCTCAGTTTCTGTTCCTGTAAAATGGAGATAATAGCACCTAGAACACGGGGCTGTTGGGAGTATTAAATAGGTTTATGTAGATCAAACACTTAAACCAACAGCATATACAACTCAATATTAACATAAATAATAAACACAAATTATTATTATTCAGTAGCATGTGATATGTCCAGGTTAAGAAGCTTAATTATAACAACCAGTTACTTAAAAGATAATTCCATCCATCTTGAAGTTCAATTGCCATTTATCAGTATTTTTTGCTTTTCCATCCAAAAGTGCTTCTCCTCACCAGAGAATGCAGTGTCCCTAGGACATGGTGCGGCACTGCTGACCAAACGTCGGGCTGAGGCACCTCAGAGGATAGCAGTGCACATCTGGCTGCAGCAGCAGCTACAGCTGTGGCTTTCAGAGCTACGTTAAGTCCTACACTCTTGCCCAGCCCACAAAAGGGACCAGAGAGATAGTCAAGACTTATAAGGCTAAGTTCCCTATTATGGATCGACACTTTAATAAAATTATCACAACAAACATAAAGGAAGAAAAATTTTGTTTAAAGGAACTGATGTGCGAGGAGGAAGGAGTGTAGCAATGTAGGTTTAAAATTATTACCAGCCTTGGCATCACCTAAGATGTTCACTGACTGGACGTGCGGGAGACTAGTTGTGTGACGCTGCATTCCCTCTCTAATGTCAACATTGTTCACGTTGCTCCATCCCTGCATGAGATCGCGGCCTTCACAATGTTTTCATCTGGCAGGTTGGATGAAAGCAACTATAGGTAACGTTGATAGAATATTTCAAAGCATTTTAGGGCTTTTGAGCTGCTGGGTTCCTCAGTTGTGTGACTAATTATGGCTTAGAGAGATACCATGCATCAATGTAAAGAGGCAGAAATCAGATCCAGAAGAAATTGGACTCATGGTCTGCGGTTCAAAGTTCTACAGTAGCTCCCCCTTATCAGCAGAGGATACGTTCCAAGCCTCCCAGTGGATGCCTTGAATGGTACCGAACTCTATATAGACTCTGTTTTTCTCTTATACATATACACCTTTTCATGTAAAGAGAGCACTTAGAGTATCTCTTTGGCATGTCCAAATCACCAGCATCTTCCACCGCTCTTGTGTTTCGGGGCCATTATGAAGTGAGATACGGGTGACGTGAACACAAGCACTGCGGTGCCATGAGAGCGGGTCAGGACACGGAGAGAGCTACTCACCGAGTGACTAATGGGAGGGTAGCGTGTGGCGCAGGTGCGCTGGACAAAGGGATGAGTCACCTCCCAGGCAGGGGAGAACAGGGTGGCGCGGGATTAGATCACGCCGCTCAGAATAGTGTGCACTTTAAAACTTATGAATTGTTCATTTCTGGAATTTCCTATCTAATATTTTTGGATTGCAACTGCCTGTGGATAATTGAAATCATGAAGAGCAAAACCACAGATAAGGGGGGACTACTGTACTAACACCCCAAACTCTATCAAAGGCATTAGGTGTTCTGGACAAATTCCACCAAGAAAGAAAAAAAAAAGACACACACACTTACAATGCAATGTGCTAATTACTATAGAAATATATAATTTCATTATGTATAGCAACTGACCACAGGCAAACTGTGCCATTAAAAAAAAACCCAAGTAGAGTAAGCTAATGGCAAGCTAAGCAGCCAAGATAAAAATTGCAATGAGGTAAAAACAGTTTAGAATAGCAACACTATACATTTTGCTTGACTGTAATCTCTAGCAAAAACAACATTTTAGTAAAGCAACATGGAAAAGTAGGTCCAGATTTCTACCGCAAAGCTGGCTTGTGAATTCTGGAGGACTCACTGAAGTTTAGGAAGTTTTCTTAACAAGAAGGATACACTGAACAAAGAAACGCTGAGCATGGCAAACAAAGGCAACACAGACATCGAACTGGCTTTTAAATGTCAAATGGCAATCTACAAAAAAGCAAGGCTGACAGAATCGGCTGTTTGGGAGTAGACAAGATAGAAGGTTACTAGACACACACACACACACACACACACACACACACACACACACACACACACACACCACCCCCTCTCCCCCTTAGAGGCTATGTGGTTAGAGATTTATCTTGGGGATTGCTTCACATCAGCAGAACATGCATATATTCTGGGCTTTAAAAATACTAGTCCTTGATCATTTCGTTAGGATATGCACTTTGAGCTGTTTTTCTAATACTGGGGATGGGTCATATCAGATCATTCATAATATCTTTGTTCCTCTTATAGCCATTGCATTAAGGCAGGCATCTTTGAGACTTCTCGGTAACCGTGTGTGGCAATGTGACTGCGGCTTTCTCTACTGAATCGACTGGTCTATGAGGAAGCGGAGTCCTGGTCGCTGGGGCAAACACTGCTTGTTAGGTGAACCAGCAGATATTTCCAATTTTCCTTTGCTCATTCCAAGAGAGACTCTGGAAAGCTAAAAGCATGCATTCCCACCCTTGCCTCGTCACTAGAGGTGGCTACGTGTCACCATATGGCCAAGGACCCTTGAAGTATTAGCTTCTTTGGCAACTTGATCCAACGCTGGGCTAATTCTGCAACTCACCTTTTGATAGGGAGACAAAACAAAACAAAAGTATGGATGAATGCCACTGAAGTTCTCTGGCTTTTATTCCCAAAGAAGTCTTCGGTGCCCCTTGTTCAGCCATCACTAGTGCTTGGCCGGCCCCTTTCCCTTTCACAGCCACTTCCCCAGGTTCAGGCTGCACTCCCCAGGCCCTCTGTCCTGGCTACTCTCTGTTACTTCCCCCTTGAGGACCTCAGGTTCTTACTAAGACCTCAAAAGAACTGTCAGCACTTGCTTTCTCTGTCGCTTTTGCCTTCCATGAACTCTCCCCTGTGCCATGATCTGATTTCTGCCTTCGCTTCTTTGATAAATAATTATTCTGATAATCACCACTGATAGACTAATTGCCAAATCCACTGGACGTTTTCCAGCATTAACCTCATTCGACCCGATTGGCTCTTTCCTCCTTGAAATTCTGTTTTCTCTTGCCTTCCACGTTTTCTTTTGCCATATTCCTCTGAGTGTCTCTTCACCTCTCTGACATTGTTTCCACAGTTTCCTTCACCCATAAATGCTGGTGTTCCCAAAGATTTTTCTTTCTATTGGTCTCCCTTACTTGTCATTCAATACATTCTCTGAGTGAGTTCATCCATTTTCATGGTTTTTGCTATTATCTAGGAACTGACGACACCTAAACTTCATTTGATCAACCGTTTGCCAGCTAGCTTTACCAGTGCATCCCATAGGCATCTCAAATGCAATGTGTTCAAAACTAATCTCGTTATCTACCTCTAGCATCTGCTTTTTATCCTGAATTTCCTGTCAATTCAGGAATCTCAGCTGCAAACATTAGAGTAATCTTTGAATCTCTGTTCTACTTCACTCCCC